AGTTAAAAAAATTTAAATAGACTATATTCATAAATAATTATTTATAGTACAAATAAGACGTGCAATTAAACGACAATTCGATAAGTAATATACCGGCCTGCTGTTTCTGATGGCCTATTGATACGCACTACTTGTCCGCGTTTCATACCATAATATCTGGCAACAGGATCACTGGATTGCATTTTCGGCAATTGACTTTCCTTCAGCCGACTAAAAGAAAGAATTTAACAAAAAACATGCTTAAGCACTTACTATGTATCCAAAAGTTCCTGCTTTTCCTCAGCCGTCAAAACAATGTGTTCCGGAACAAGTTTATGTTCGGTAATATTTACCATTAGCTCATTTTCATAGAAACATTCCATTGTGATTTTGTTTGATAGTAATTCCGCAATGGCCTACAAAAAATCACGATTCCATAAAAATTGGAGAAAACTTACAGATTTAGCAGCAGGAGTCAAGCCGGCATCTCGAAGTATAAGAATGGCTTTGGTGCATTGTTCCTGTTGCATTTGATCCACATAAGAACGAATGGTCTTCATGTTTACACGATCTTCATCAGGTAAAAATACATATAACGTATCGGAAGGATCCTCTTCATGATTTACAACCACTAGTAATCCTTTTGGAGGTCCTGATTCACCCAATGATTCCCTATAATCCTCAAGAGATTGGTCCAATTCTTTTTGCATGACTAAATAGCCTCTGTCAAGGCACATTTTAAGAACTGTCTTCCTAATTCTCCACAATTTATATATCTCGTCATCCATTGCACCTCAGCTGATGGTCACGAAAATGATACAAAATGACCACAAAGTATGTATTTGTTTAAACAGTCACCATTATAAAAATTATGTGCGAGATGATTCTTTAAATCTTAATTTTAATATTATTGTATAAATTTTATAAATTAATAAAAATTATTCGTTTATAAAGATTTCAATATTTATTAATTTAGTCAAGTATTTCATGCTCAGAATCAAAATCGAAGGCTTGTTGAAAATTACGTCAAACCGTCATTCTCTATACAAATCCTATTGTCATATATTTTGGTTTTATTTGTTTTTTGTTCAGTTGAAGACGATGCATGTCTTGTATTGCACGAGTTTTCATATTTAGGAAATATTTTTACTTATATATCTATTCACTCCAGCCAATAATCCTTGACTTACAACTACTTACTCCATATTTCTACCTCGTATCACAGAAAGTGCAGAGTTTTATACAATTCGGCTTCGTGGGGACATGGAAATCCTTATCACGATATATATAAATTTATACAACTTCAAAACATTGTGGGAATAATGTGAGTATCTATGGTATCATAATTTTGATTTCGAATCAATTTCTTTCCAGATCCCAACATGTTTGTCTTTCATGAAATGCTCTTCATCGATTTTCAGCTGCTCGGTTTCCAATGTCTCGAATGCACATTTGCTTGTCGATCGGGATTCACTCACTTTATCTAATTTTTATGAGAAGGAGACATGATCTTGACATAACCATTTGTATGATGTATCAAAATTCCGAAATCCTTTACTGTCCGCACTCACTCATTAATGATCCAATTGATAAAGCCGGACTATTGATGACATTTTAGATAGGTGATTGATTTTATTGAAACGATCCATTAGAATTAACATATAATCCTATTATTTCATGAGCCACAAGAATCCTCAACAAACTCTAGACATAATGCTACTTGTAAATCTCAGCAATCTTACCACCTGGCCTGCTACATTGTGTGTAGATTCACCAAGGAACCTGACAAACTGATTTCGTTTGCACTCTCATTAAACTATCGCAGTGTCCCTCAATATGAACAGGCTTGATAAGCATTCAACATCTAAACTATAATCAAAACCACTCACACTATGCCCCTATTATCAAGTCCAAACCAACACTTTTTTGAACACAACCAGGAGACAACACTTGTCTGTCCCTAACATGTGGCATTATTTCTGCACCAAAATTGATGCCTCCAACTCAACCTCACTTTGATGAAAAAATGCACTTACTCCACACTTTGACTGCGGCGTTGAGGAGCGAAAGGGATTACCAATTGGCATCCACAATTACTTCTCATAAGTTCACCTGAGATTTTATTCCACGATAACTGGGTACCGCCTTACAACTCTATTTTTGCAAAAAGCTAGTCGCTTTATAAATCACGATGATTGGGCATAATATTGCGTTAACTACAGCCTTCATCTGTGTTATAAGATTTCGATTATTTCTTCTACATAATGAGTACAATTCACCAATCATAGTAATCATCTGAATAATCACAACTTTGGCACTCAAAGGGAGAATCGAGTTGAAACTATTATGTGGATACGTAAGTGAAGAGTCTGAATATAATTCAATTATCCGAACTGAAGGTCACTGCTACTACTGAACACATGCAATAGTTTTATGTTATCACAGAGGCCAATGGTAAACAGAATCTTTATCTTATCTCAACACCTCCGGGAATTTAATGATGAAGAGACTGCATTAAACTAGTCAGCACTCAGGAATGGAATGACTCTTCTCTCTGGAAGCATAATGAAGGAGGATGCACGCAGGAATGTTTTAGATGCACTTCAGACAGAGATTGGCATTCAGAGAATATGTATTCATAGTTTTGTGAATAAGGACAAGTGCGAGTGCCGTTAATTGGATCAAAGTAGAGGTTGATTTGTGGGGAGGGTGGAAACCACAAAATTTAGTGGGAAGAATTCATGTGCTGAAATAAGTGTAAAAGCTCAACGAATTGTTACAGATTGGTGAACGAGTCGTCCATTGGCCTACACGGAAACGAAAATGGCACTGTCGTAGTAATTATACTTGCTTGAAATAACTATGACCATACGCTATAAATTGCACCGAAAGCATTTTAACTAAAACATAAAGTCGACTAAGTAGCATACGAGCATCAAGAATTGAATTCAATTTAATCTGGAATTTGCCAACACTCAGTCCAATTGAGATTGACAGAACAAAAACACAAGTTCAGAAAAGAGTTGTCTTAATGGGCATCACAAAGCAAAGACCTACAGCAAGTGAATTAAGTTATGTTAAACCAGTTTATGGTCATTATCGATTCATGAAGTGACTGGTCTGCCTTTGATGGACACTGACATTTCGTGTGCCCACGTATTGACATGTCACTTCAAAGCACATAAGCCAAGGTGGTAAAGCATGATTGTATGAGTCACAGCAACACTTTTTGCAAGAAGTAGAGGTCATGATCACACTATTTATATCGAGGTTGAGGTTTTGCCCCCACCCACTCTCTACCTGACGATGTATAACCTATTTCGAGGACAGATGTTGGAATGTGCCTAAAATAAAGTCCATTGTACTGATTAATCGACATCCAAAATATTGTTCAACTGACACATCGATTCTAATCACTTCCAAACATTGAAACAAGTTGAGTGATTTGGATGGGGAGAAGAGTAAGAAGTAGTCACGAGTACATGACACAATGACATTTATGACAATTCGTTGACAATGCATAGTATCAAGGCGTAAATTGGACTAATCAGTTTAGTGGTCTCTAACGACTTGCCATCAGGAACTTCTAAGTGGTCTTGTGAGGGAAGATAGGGGGGGGGGTCCACATCTTCAGATTAGGAGAGATCTAACAGGTTGAACCTACTTACGAATCATTCATCAGTGTACGTACTCATCTGTAAAGAGAGTCTGGGAATGCAAACGTGTTTGAGCTGGAATTGGTGATCTCGAGATAGCCCTTTCGTTACTCAATGACTACACCTTGCAACATCAGGATATTACGACCAACTGATGGTACTTTTGGATGCGATCAGAGAGAATCAGTGCTAAGACCAGAGTCATCAATTGGCTGAATCGAGGTAATGAAGTCATGTTGGCTCAGTTGCCACTCTGACTAGTAAGAGGGGAGTGAGACTATTTGGCCATTATCAAACATCCACCTTCCACACACGATTTCTTCACATTAAACACTACCATTGCCATCTATTATGAGAAATTATTGATGGGAGAGTATTTGCAATTAATTGTATCATATCTTGTGGACGAGTATACAGATTGAACTCATGTAGAATATTGTTTGTAAATAGAGTTGTAGGAATGCACTTTCCACTTGGTAAACTTATTCAATTCAACAGAAACCAGTTCGGATATGGAGACAAATGCAACAGCCATTTAGGAGTTTAAGCCCTCTCTAGAGACAATGAGTTCTTTTACAACAGGTAATCACCATCTCATGTCGAATAGTTTTTATTAACCCGTTAGTGCAGTAGAATTACAATTTCCACTTGGCTAACTTATGCTACGTCTGTCAGTTCTCGAGTTGGCTAATTCATATCCCACAAGGTGGGACATAAAGCCTGCCTTTTGTTATAAATAAATACTACGCGCCTATCAATCTTATATCTCCGCCTCAAATAAAACTAATCCAAATTACTAATCAATAAAACACTCCATCCTCTTCATCTTGTCAACATGTGGACGGGTCCAATTTGTTAGTCCATCCTCATTTACGTCTACAATCAACAAAAAGTTATATGAAATAAATAAACCGACGGCTTACAGAATCGTCCACTTAGTTCAACTCTCTTAAAATCCTCTTCTTTGAAAAGCTGCAACTTTAAGTACCTTAATCAACCACCAGTTCACCTTCCACCCTCCACGTTCCCTCATGTGAGAATTATTACTGTTTAATAAAAATTACAAAGACAAAATGCCCTTAAGTATCCAAATTTTTTCAGTCTGTGATTTTATTCTATATTTTCCTTAAATTGTCAAGTAATAACAAGTAAAATCATGGTGGAGTCACGTGAGGCGAAATTTAAGTCTAATTTGTTTTCAACGAACTCATTATTGTGATGACCTGAACCAATCAGTAGACAGTATTTCACATTACTGACTATCCAGCACACCCACCCATCTGTCTCCTAAGCCAATTGGAATACAGCGTGTTCCATACAATTGTATATAAGTACGATCATACGATAACAGAATTAGCCACCACAATGCGAGTGTTTGTTCTATTCCTCATAGCGTTGTTTTGTGCAGTGGTGAGGAGTTATAACATTCTTGACGGAAAACGTAAAACCCTCGACTCCAACAACACTGTCACCATTTCCCTGCCCAATGAATTGCTTATCGATTGTGCAAATCGATTCATTATTCACTCTCTGAAACCCATTAAGAAGGTGACAGTTAACATGACTTCTCACAATCTCTTGTCAAACGATATTGGATTGAGGGAGTTTCAACCATTTGAGGTCAATGGAACTGGAGGTGAGAACGGATATGTCTACGATTTGAAGTATTACGTACCTATTGAACTCAAATCTGGCAGTTATTTTGGACTCAATATTACCTTCTATCATTGTCCTCTTGAGTCTTGTCAGAGTCCTGAAGACTTTGACGTAAATAGTGTTCAACGATTCGTCCGAATGGTGAGCCATTATGTTCACATACTTGGGGAAACAGATAAACCACTTTATCGTCCTGGAGAGACTGTTAAAATGCGTTTCCTTGCTCTTACAAGACAAACTATCTTGCCTTCATCGGAATCTCCTACATGGCCAAGTTATCAAGCACTAGGTAAAGATGGGCGTGAGAAGACCGTAGTGGAATTGGAACCTGAAGTACAGAAGAGACGTAAAGAAGTTCCATACTTTGACTCAATCGAGATAAAAGATCCACTTGACAACACAGTGCAACAATGGAAGAATGTGACAACCTTTGAAGCTCTCAACCTCTCATACAATCTCATTAGTGATGCTGCTGAGGGAAGGTGGACGATTGTTGCTCGTGTTCAAGAGGAAAGAGAGGAGGTAGTGTTTCAAGTGAGACACTATGTTCTTCCTCGTTTCCAGGCCCACGTCACAGTACCAAGAGAAATAGAGCCACAGGACGTGAATGTCACTTTCAGTGTTTGTGCATCTTACACAAACGGACCAACCATGGCAGGCGTATATGACGCTCAACTCTGCATCTGCAGTCAGCGAGAACTTAGTCGTCAACAGGAAACTAAGAAGATGATGTCGAAAAATGAATGCAAGAATAACTATGGATCGGTCACTCGACAATGTATGCGTTTCAATGGTGTACTTCATCACACCACCTGCACTAACATCACAGCAGACATAGCCAAGTTGGTTGGAGGAAGAGAGCCAGGTTGGGACGATAAATTGGGCGTTTTTGTGGAGGTGACTGAAGAGGCGACGGGTCTGTCGATCGTGGTGTCCAACACAGTTGGATTTAAAGATCGACCCGCGACCCAGTTAGAACTGAGCATGCCTTCGTCAATTAAACACGATATCCCAGTAGTGGGGCACGTGATTTACAGAAGTAATGGCGATTTAACAAAGGAATTGGAACTTATTGTTCGAGAAGATATCAATGCTTGTGATAGATGGGAGTCTTCGGGCTCCACACCTCCAGTACGCCTCAAACGAATTATTGCAGTAGAAAATGGCCGAGATGAATATAAATTTGTTCTCCCTCCAATTGATTTTAAAAAACCGGCTTTAATAGTCGTACGAAAGATTGGAATAAGAAATGATTCAAATGGGAATGTGTCCTCGTTAGTCAGTGGCAATGACACCAATTCGGATTTGCAATTGCAGGCGAACAAACGCCTAAACCTGTGGGATGGAAGAAAAGGATTGGCGATTCAGGTTCATGTGGTGAATAAGAAGAATGTCACTTGTCCAGGTGAGGTAGAATTACAGGTGATCTCGAATGAACGCCTTCCTGAGAAAACCACTCTGATGCTACATTTCCTGAAACGTGGACAACATATTTCCAGAACACTCGAGTTACAATCTGACTATACATGCAAACCAAGGGACGATGAATTTGGACATTACGAATGCAAGAATGATGGTGATATAATTTGCAAGGAAGGATGGACTGGTCCCAATTGCCTTATTCCTGTTTGTATCGAGGACTGTGGCAAAGGGGGGATTTGTGTGGCTCCAAATAGGTGTGCGTGCAAACCAGGTTGGAGTGGCGAGTCATGTGAGGCTTGTATTCCCAGAAAGGGCTGCAAGAATGGTGATTGCATTGAGGGTGAAGATTGTGTCTGCCGTAAAGGATTTGTTGGCAACCTATGCGATAGAGCCGATGTTATCGTGGAGGGGATTAGTACACCAGGATGGAATGAAATGACTGTAGGCAAGTCAGAGGAAAATGAGGAAGTAACAAGTAGCAGTATTGTCAATACTCCACGAAGAACAGTGTTCAAACATGTGACTCATCTCCAACTGGACAGCGATTTCGGACCAGAGTTGCGTGCTGTAGCATATGTTTTGGTTGAAGGAAAGATGGCAACCGATTACCTTCAGATCGAGAATATCCAGTCCTGCTCCTCACCAGCAATAGCTAAGACTTCTCAAAACGAAGGAGGAAGAGGAGGAGAAGGAGAAGGAGGAGGTTTCCAATTGAGCAGAAGAGTGGCAGCTCCAGGAGAAATGGTGAATATGACTCTGAATCTGACCCGTGCATACTCTACTGGTGATAAGATGACAGGTACTTGTTTGTTAAGCACAATCGATGTTGCCACAAAGAATTTCAACACAGTGGGAAGGCGAAACATTGATTTTGAAGCTATAATTGGTGTTCTTAAAGACAACCGAGGAAACAATGATCCGAACTGGATTTCGAGCTCAGAGGACGCATATCGTGCAGCTGGAATTGATCTCATCCCTGTTACATCAAACAAGGATTTGGCCGAACCCCTCGGTGCTTGTCCCACCATTACCAATAGATTTGGTGGTGCTGACGATACTGAACGAAGAGTCAAACCAAAATCTAATGAATCAGGATCTAAAGATGCTGCTCCCACACCCCGTCTTCGTGATTTCTTCCCAGAAATTTGGCTCTTTGAGCCTGCTGTACTGACAAATGGAAGTTTCGAGAAGTCGCTCACAGTGCCTGATAGCTTGACTTCGTGGGAAGCAAATGCGGTGTGTCTCTTGGGTGATCGCGGTCTTTGGGCTCCAGTTTCCAAGCCTACACTGACTGTCCGAATGCCTTTCTTCGTGGAATTCGCACCACCATTGGTAGCTCGAAGAGGCGAAACACTCCACCTACCCATTACCATCTTCCTTCACCCCAATGAAAACGCTAGCAATCGCATTTGCTACGAAGTTGAAGTGAGCATGCAATCCGATCCAGAGGACTGGAGAATTGTCGGTGCAACCACATTTTCTGCCTGTACCTGTTCGTCCCAATCTGGCCAACTAAGTAAGGAGACTTTCCGCCTTCCCATGAGACCACTTCGTATTGGCCAACTCAATCTCACTGCAACGGCGATAGCTAGAAGTGGCACTGGCATTTGTGATGCTGAGGGAGTCCATTCTTCCAAGGAGGTGTTCACCGTTTCTGACGCTGTTCGACGTTCAATTCGTGTTGAAGCCGAAGGAGTTGAGAAACGCGTAACTGTTGGTGGCATCTTCTGCTCACCCCATAGTAAGTGATTTTAAGTCAAATTAAAGTGTACTGTAGTTATCAATTTTGCCTTGAAAAATTGTTCATTTAACAGATAAATATATTTCAATTTGTAATGTTGGGTGGTCGGTTAGAAGTATCAACAATGTCACACGTCCTGCCTATGTGAATTTAAAACTAATGCAATGAAAATTCAAGCTTTGGGCGTTTCTCCTTCTCTTCTTGAGGGTGACCGTTTCCTCTTCAGATGATTCAGATGGGATTTTCATTTTAGAACATTTTCGGCTTCAGTAAGGTTTAGACGCATAAATTCTAACTACACTCATGTGTGCTGGGTCGATGTTTCGATTTGATAAGTGGGAGGTGAAACGGTTGATATTCACAACTTCATACCTGTTACAATTGAAATGAATTAATTCATTTCTTCCATTTATCCCTTCCTGTTTTCTCATTCCACGTTGGCAGACTATTTACGAGTTTGAATATGAATAAATCTTGAATTTTTTTCATTCACTGTCTTCCGAGTCTGCACTTGAATCAATTAGAAATAGATCAAGTAGAATGGTTACCATTACTTAGAATGCATTCCTTAAGCGAGTCTTACAATTTGAACAGAAGATGAAGGTTAGTAGGTGATGAAACCTTAATGACGATCCAATTACTGGTTCGATTTGATTAATACGCATTTCACAATGTTTGCGTTGTAGATTCCTCAAAAGGCGAGCATGAATTGAAAGTTGATTTGGAGGACAAAGAAATAGTGGAGGGTTCTCTTCGAAGTTACGTGGCTGTGGGTGGGAGTGCAATCAGTAGGGCCCTTTCCAATCTCGACTCTCTGGTTCAAATGCCCACTGGATGTGGAGAACAAAATCTCGCAAAGGTTGCACCAAGTGTCTACGTGCTCAAGTATCTTCTCAGTCATCAGAATGCATCCCAACTTCGTCAGAATTCCTTGGCCAGAAAAGCAGCCGGTTATGTTGTCAGTGGTTTCGATAATGAACTGAAATATCAACATCCCAATAATGGTGCCTTCTCTACATTTGGACCAGAATATGGTGCAAATGGAAGCACTTGGTTAACAGCATACGTGTTTGAGGTATTCAGTGAGGCCGACGACCTGCCCTTGTCAATCATCTCGCAACAAAATCTCAGCGCTCACCCTGTTTTAAGTAAGGCTTTCGACTTCCTTTTCAGTCAGCAACAAGATGATGGTTGTTTTATCGAATCGGGCAGTAGATTCATGACTTTCATGGGAAACACAGATTCAGATGAAAGCAGGCTACTACTTACTTCTCACGTGCTTGCTGCTTTCAGTTCTGCTGGAAGGGCAGTGAAGAAAGCTAAAGGCACTGAATATAGTAGGAGTGTACAATCTGCAATCGAATGCATCAAATCAATAGGAGAATCGTTTCCCATTGAAAAATGGTCAACTTCACTGATTGCCAAAGTTCTCTACGCCACAAAGCAGTTCCCGTCGGTGACTGGGGAATCAATGTTGATGGCAATGATGCATGCCCTAGAGAAACGCTCGACGACAGAATCAACAGTAAGTGGATCTATGAAATGGTGGCAAGAATCGGAGAAGCAAAGGGAGAAGAAAATCAGTAGCTTCTATTACGATAGATTGAGAGATCTAGAAACTACGGCTTACGCTCTGTTGGCATTGAGTCCTGAAAACATTTCTCATGACGATCAAATTGCAGTGGGAAAGTGGATATCAAAACAGCAAAATGAGAAGGGTGGCTTCTATTCTACTCACGACACTGTGATGGCTGTTCGAGCTTTGATTGAAACTGCTCGTCTTTTCCCAACACCTACTGAGTCTACAGGGGTGAAAATTAGAAGTGAGGAAATGTCGGAGGTCGACTTCAGCTTAGAAATCGGTCCTGAAAATGAATTCATCTCAAATACATTTGAAATAGGAAGACATAATAAGAGCAGTATCAGTAGACTCAGTCTCAGCATTCAATCGTCCAAGCGGGTGTGTGTCTCTGCTCACTTCACCTCAATCTACAATGTTGTAGAATCGAAGAAGGTGGATGATATCTTTTCTGTGGATGTATCTGTTGACCAAAGTGGCAGCAATGCTACTGCACTGTGCACGACAGCCCACTCCTCTATTTGTATTCGTCAACCAAATCCCAAAGCAACAGGAATGCTTTTAGTAACTATTCAACCGCCCAGTGGATGGAATGGGGCAGTGAATGAATTGAAGAAGATTTCTCTTAAAGGAGACCTTCAGAATATCAATTATACGGCTAAAGATCACGTAATCACTGCTTATCTTAAAGAATTTGAAGGTGGAATGGCAAGTGGTGAAAGGTGCTTCAATGTGACTCTTTACCAACGAATGTACATTCAGAACTCAAAACAAGGTTCGATTACTGCTCGTGACTACTACAATCCAAAGGAGGTGTTGCAACAATCATTCCAACTTGACCCATGTCAAAACTACTGGGAAGCGTCTATGGGAGGACCAACCAATGATCCTATTGAGAAATCATTGACAACCACATCTCCTTTCTTCAATACTGAAGCACCAGACGAGAAGCCAATTTGTCCAACCTGTGGAGATCTCGAGACCTCAGTCATGAGCCAATATCTCAACAATTCCTTGTGTCTTCATCATCGACAATTCTTTGTATTCAAGAAGTACAACAAGTCTGAAGAAGGTTCTTTTGAAGGACTAATGTATACATTCGGTTACGGCAATCATTTGGCCTCATGGAATACCACTTTAAAATGGACCAGCACATGTAAATGCAAAGTGCTGGAGATGGAAAACATCATCGGTATTTTTGGAGATGGTGTTTATCCTGGTGTATTAAGTGTTCACGTGGGTGGACATGAATTGGTCAACTTCGACACTACAGTGAAGGGCTTAGAGGAATTCAAGAAAGCTCTAAAAATTGAAATTGATGCCCTTGAGGAAAGTAGAAGGAAGGACTGGTGCTACGGACACAACGCCTTGTTTGCTCTACAGAGGAAACTGGCTCCATCGAATAGCACCTTTTAATCCAAGTCATGAATCAAT